CTGCCGAATGGTTGTTTGCAATGAAAATGCCTGAAGGCATTTCTGGGAGCCTGAAGCCCTTATCTGCAAGTTCAGAGGTAAAAATCTCAGGAAGCTGCTCTCGTGTGCTAGGAAGGGGATTTTAGCCTTGTTTCCTTGCTGAAATTGCTGAGATCCTGTGCTTTGCTCTGGCTCCTGGAGCCCTTTAGGTGAGCAGAAAGCCCTGGGGAGGGTGGAAGATCACACCTCCTTGTCCAAAGCCATGCTTCCATTGCTTTGGCAGTGCAGCCGAAGGCAGAGACCAGACTCTGCAGCCCTGCATGGTCTGTATTGGCACTCAGGGGCTTCCGACGTGTGTGAGGTCCTTTGTGTGAAAGTATTTGCAGGACCAGGTTGCTGCAGTGTAAGTGCCTTTGAGGTCTTTGCTGCGTTATAGATTTTCTTCTGATGTCTCCATTGCAAATATTTAACCTGTCTGGTTCCTGAGAGCTCCGAGTGCTGGCGTGTGCTGCTATGAGAGGGTCGGATCATCTCTGCAGTCTTTGCTTTGTCTGCATGCTCTCCTCTGCAGGCCTGAAGGGATGCCACAGGATGTAGTGCTGTGCTGATGCCCCCAGGGGTTTATTTGCCTGAGATCTTGTCCTTCTTGACCGAGCAAGAGGTTGTGGTTGTCCTTGCAAACCTGGGTGCTTACAAGTGTTCAGAAATACCTGGAATGTGGGCCTTGGAGCCTCTGTTACCCCACCTTGCAGTGACCAGGCACCGTTTGGAGGAACATACAAATGAGAAAACAGAATTTACAGATGCACCATGGATTACCTCGCTTGTCAACAGCCTGCAGGCCTTGTTAGACCCTGCAGACTTTACATAATTTTGGCTTTATTCCCTCCTATTACGTCATGAACATAAAGTGGAGACAGGGTCATTCTCTCCGATGTTGTGGTCACATAAAGGATTTTCTTATTTTTTTGCTTGGGGGCAGGCAGCATTTGGAACAAACTTTAACTATTTGAAGCGGGGATGTGCAGAAGAGCCTGCCCTTGGCTGGGGTTCTCCCTGGAAGCACAGCCCTCAAGAGCGTGTCTTACTCTCTCAGAGGAAGAACAGGTCTGCTGTGCTCACAGCCAGAGCTTCTGCAGTAACATCTGTGGGTCATCCAGTCCTTCTGCGCCTTCATTGCGTTTCCCCTTTGCACCTGGCTGGCACCTAGGAGTTTGTGATAAATGTCATTAAGACACTTCTCAGGTACTTTTTTCTTCTGTCCTTCCTTGTGCTTTTCTGGCTCCCATCCTCGTGCTTCCAGGAAATATTTCAAAGATAATTTGGCATATTTTCTGCTACCTTCACATATCTTCATGGCTTTGTGTTTTTTTAGCTGGAAGATAGCTTTTCAGCATATATGTGTAATCCTTTTCACCTAGACATGTGAGGAATTCCAGTCTCTTCCAGTGGGAGTTTTCAGGAAGGTTTAGGTTAAATGGGCCAATAAGGCAAAATCATGTAGCAGAAGATCTTACCCTCTAAAGACATCTTTTTTCTTTCTTTCTCTTTCTCTCTCTTTTTTTTTTTTTTCTTTTTCTGGAAAATGTATCAGACTATCTAGCTGTCAAAGAATTTAAACAATAATAGCTGATCTGAAGGCTGGAGCAGAGAGCTTTTGAAAATAAGATTGTAATCTCTCTGCAGAGCACCTGGGGATGGATGGGGCTGGAGGTGCTGTGTGCTGGGGGAGGCTCACTGCCACTGAGGGCCCACGTAAAGTTCCCGTGTGTTTTTCAGGGCTGGGATTCACCCTGACTCATTCTAGTTGTCTGGGTGTGATATTCAGCATCACTGTTTGGGCTCTTGAGAGAATTCAATGAGAGATGGGCAAATCATGGATGCCTGGGTTAAAAAGGAGAATCTGTAGGGTAGAAACCAGCTGGGTTATGAGCCCTACCCCAAGGCCTGACTGATCTCTCGAGTGGGACAGGAAGAGAAGGAACCCTAAAAATAAGAACATGTTCTCAGCATCTTATGACTCAGCTTTTCCAGAAGTGGGTACCTCTGGGCTGCCTTAGCCCATGCTTCAGCAGCCAGGATTGCAGCAGGGAGCAGACAGCATCTGCTGAGCCTCTGCTCCCTCTTCCTGGACATCAGGGGCTGCTGAGCAGGGCCATGTGGGTGCTTGTATGTCTGTCAGTGATGCTGTAGATGTTTGTCCATCACTGCTGCTTGGTGCAAGCAATGGCACTCTGCTGAGGGAGGGGGGGGGCTGCCGGCATAACCTCTGCCACCCATGGGGAAGGTGAGTTCCATTTAGCTCTAAACTATAATGTTCTTTTATTAGATCTTTAAACTTTATTTAAATTCTTTATTTAAAAAGGGGGAGGAAGGTATCATATTTTAATTAGCAGCGGTGTCAAAGGAGACCTAGATTAATTATTTGAAATCATTCCATCCAGATGGTTTTAATTTTCACAGCAGGGAACCGGCATCTTTTTAAGGTGATATTTTTCAAATTAAAATCAGCTTGGATATTACTCATACTGGCTGCAGTGTGAGGGGATGGGGGGAAGCAAGGCGCGTGCCCCGTGTTTGTTCATCTGAGCCCGGGCACGCGTGCTGTCAGCCCGTGTTGGCTGTGCGCGGGTTGCTGGCCATCTGGCAGCCTGCAGCTCGAGCTCCAGTGGGGAAATGGAGCATTTTATTGACCTTTACTTCTCCTTTGGCTGGATGAAGCCCGTATCTGATATCTGGGGTTGTTCTTAGCAGTTCTAGTAGCAGTGCTGAGGCTTGGATGGATGGGGTTGGCCCTGCAGCTTAGACGTGGTGCTCCCGGAGTGGGGGTTAGCAGAAGGTGGGCAGGCAGTGAGGGTGAACTTGTGTCCTGTTTGTGCCTGAATGCAAGCTGCCGAGCCCTAGCTGGTGTTTGGAAGCCCTGTTTATGTTGCTGTGTGGATATGATGTGGAGATCTGCAGGCAGCTCCTTGTAGCTCTGGGTGTTGGCCACAGTTCTTGGCCAGTGCTTGGCATCTCACATCTGGTTCCTTAGATTTCAGGCTGCTGCTTTCCCCTCTTGCACTGACTGTGAGTTTCTGTCGCTTCCTCATGGAATCACCAAGGTTGGAAAAGATTTCCAAGATTGTCCAGTCCAACCATCCACCAACAACCAATATTTCTCCACTAAACCACGTCTCTTAGTACAAGACAACCTTTCACAGTTACTTCTTTAGAGATAGTCATACTCCTGGCTGTTCCCTGATCCATTCCTATGGCACTGCATCTGAGCAGCCTCCCTGAGCAATTTGAAGCGATGACCTTCTCCAAGGTACACACCATTTAGCTCAGTGAAGCCCTGGCTTTGATCTGTGGCATGCTCTGCCATCCTGGATTTGTTCATCTTTGTATCCCTACAGTGATGGAATATTTCTGGCCATGTGGCCTTCCTGCCAGAAGTGTGGGTGAGCACTGGTTTGATTCCACCTGGGCATGTGCTGAGACAAAGCATGCAGCTGCTGTTGGTATCCATCCTCCAACCACAGCACCTGCCTGAGAGGCGTGGATAAATGTCCTTATTTACATGTTTGCAAGCTGTGTACTGGTATAATACAGGCATTATCCTACTTGCTGTCAGAAAGAAGTACAGAAACATATTCTTTAAATATCCCCTGTGATAAAGATTTAATGAATATATCTACATAAATGTAAACAGTAACTGGCAAACCCTGAACTTGCATGTGTGACTGGGCTGCAATGGGAGAATTCCGTTTAGGGCCCTCGTGAGTTAAAGGTGTGTGATATTTGCACTGCTGCAGAAGCCAAAAGCTGACTTTACAAGTGGGAAAAATATTAATGTGTTTAAATGAAACAAACTCCTATTTCTATCCCCATGGTAAATCCTTAACGGTGAACATATTTGCTCTTAGAGGGTTTTAAAGTTTGAAATATGAATGCCAAAAAGAATGTGACTTTCTGCAGCGCACATCAAACATTCTTCAGAGTTTGGCAAAAGCTGTGTTTCTACGGTAAGACTCAGTTCTTACAAACGTGAGAATTTCCAGAGCAGGAGCGTGGATTTGCACTTGCTGACACTTACACATTCTTGCATTGTGTTTCCACCATGTCTACTTTCTCCCCTGCATATCGGAGATGGAGCTGAACCAAAATGTCCAGTCTGCATGTTCCTGCCTCTCCAGGGAAATTCTTGGAATCTGAACCTCGAGCATGACTGGAATTTGAGTTTAGATCAGAGTCAGAATGGAACGCTGAATTTGAGCGTGTGTAGGTTTTAGTGATGATGATAGCATGCTATACATCTGTGTGACAGCTTGAATGGCTTCTGCAAATCAAATTGCATCAGGGCAGGTGGTACATACAGATGAAGCAGAAATCTAGCTCCTGCCATGGCTCCTGGAAATGCTGCAACACACTATTTGGCCTTAATAAGACATGCAAAACACAATGACATTGGCCACGTTTCTCCCAGCTGGGCCTGGAATTGCAGGCTCAGCAGAGCTGTACTGCCACAAAGCAATCAGTGACCTCCTGGAAAGACGTCTTGACACTCTCAGGACTCAGAACACAAACTGCACTGAACTTCTCCCCCACTAGCTGTCGTAAGCACCAAGAGCCTGTGCCTGGGGTGCCTCTGTGAAGTGTTTGGGGGCTGCTGACTGGGGGGAAAGGAATCTCATTCTGTCTGTGCTAATCTTGTATCTTCCATGAGAAAGAAATCCATTCTTTTACCTCCTGCAGTGTGGACGGCTAGCAAAGACATATAGAGCACAGTTGTGTATGCCTGTTCTGTGCTAAAGAGGCATTAAATCTGAAGTGTCTGACATGGAGAATTGTCAGATTGGCACTTCTAACCAAGTCTGAAGCTCAGCCTGTGGGTGGTTATGAGGGTTGTTCCCTTGTAGAGCATCCAAATGTGGTGTGGTTCAAGTGGAGGCAATGGGACAACGCACTGGTGAGCTTTGCACACACTGACTTAACATGACCACGCTGGTAAATGCTTTTTTTTCTTCTTCCTTTACAAGCCCAGCTTCTAGTGGAAACAGACACTTTTGGCAGTCAAGTCCGGATCAAAGGGAAGGAGACAGACTTCTACCTTTGCATGAACAGGAAAGGCAAGCTAGTAGGGAAGGTAAGTGTTTCCTACTGATTCTTTTTTAACATGAGTGTTACCTTTAGCAGCCTCCTCAAAGCTGCAGTGATGTGTACAAGCGTTGCCTGTCAGCCTCAAATGAAAAGCAGGACTGAGCAAATGTGGCATTTAAAGGCGGTCTGTCCCTTCACCAGGCCTCCCCCATGTCCTTAAAACCAACTTGCAGCCATCCACTGGGATTCTGTGGTGATGTTTTGGATGCATATCGGTTGACACTTTACAGTTGGGTAAATTGAGAAAAGATGTCAATTCTGTATCACAGCATTATGGAATGTGGTCCATATAACTTCATGACTTGATTGAATCCTGCCTGACTTTGGAGTGATGTTAGAAAAAGGGAAGGCAAGAATGTGCTAGGAAGGTTAGCAACATAGGGCTGCTTTCAGTGTTGAGGCAGGTTACAGCATGGCAAAGCTAATACCGAAATCAGATCATCTTACTGGGACAAGGCCTCGTGGTTCTAGCATTGCAGGAATATTTTATTACATTGGATCCCTGCACAATGGAAGCATGTTGGAAATTACAGCATATTTACCCATGTAGCTTAACTTCTTTGCTGAAGTCATATTTTCGTGCATTAACTTGTTTTTGTAGCTTAGGCAGTTCTTCTGAACTGCTGGCGAGGCTGGCTGCTCGCTAACGGGGCAGGAGGTGCTTCAAAGCTAAGACATGGCCAAACACCCCCAAAAGGTCCCTCCTCCACTGCTGCACTGTGTGCTGCCAGGAATTAAAATCTGGCATCTCCGTGGCTGTGAAAAAGGGAAGCTGAGTTTCATTTTGAGTCAACAAAGGCAGAACAGTGAAAGCCACACTCCCAAACAGAAACCAGAAACCAATTGCTCTGATGAAACATTATTTACATTTGTGGTCCCAAGCGTGACACTTGTGGGACAAGTGCCTTCCCCTAGAGGATCGTTTCTGCCACTTTTATTTTCCTCGCAGCACTACAGATGCTTCTTTGGAGGCTGAGCCTGGGTCTTTCAGAGGTAGCACTACCAGTGGCACCCTGCCTAAGCCACTGGAGAGCTGCTTTTGCAAAGCAGGGAGCATCCAGCATGCTGTGGAGACCTGGAAATAGGATGGGCTCCAGGAGGATTGGACCAAAGCAGCCATTTCTCTCTGCTTCCTGCATCTCTGCAGTGTAACTGCCTGCTCTCAATGAGACACCATTGCTTGACCTTGTTCCGTGATAGGACGTGGGAAATGATTTTAAGCTAAGACAGAGGAGGATTAGGCTGGATATACAGAGGGTGGTGACACACTGTAACAGGTTGCCCAAGGAGGCTGTGGATGCCCCATCCATGGAGGCATTCAAGGCCAGGCTGGATGTGGCTCTGGGCAGCCTGGTCTGCTGGTTGGCGACCCTGCACATATCAGGGGGTTGAAACTAGATGATCATTGTGGTCCTTTTCAACTCAGGCCATTCTATGGCTCTATGACCTTGGACAAAGAAATTTGTTTTTTAACTGGATGTGGATGTATTGGGATGCACACAGTTGCTTTTGAAAATTGCACTGCATATAAACCTGGGCATTAATTTCTTTACACCTTAGTTTTCTGTGGTTTTACCTTGTCTTACAAGTGTTCTAAGGATAAATATGTTACTACCTTTGATGTGCTGATAGGACAATAATGGAGACCTTATAAGCATTCTAGTTATACAGGGATAAAGTAAGCATGAAATCTTATAGTTTTCTGTAACAGACTTTACCCCAGCGTGGGTCAGTGTTGGTACACATTGCCACCCACATCCTTTCCTGGTATGTGCTGAGTGTCCAGAAGCATCCTGGCAGAGTCAGAGGCTGTTTTTCACAATGTATAGTATATTTTGGCAACCTCGGTTGCCCACTGGGCAAGAAGGCAGGACATTTCTTTAGCTTGTCACCTTTCATGCAGCGTAAAGCTTTTGTTTTTTTCTCGATGTGCTTTTTATAACGCGAAGTTGGCAAACGGTCTGTTATTAAAAAAAAAAAAAACTATTCTTGTAAATACGCCATCTGAGCCTTCCCACCCCAGACTGCTGACAAGTTCATAAAGCAGCCGACCTGAGCAGGAGGGGGTACTGAGCATTGCGCTTGGAAGGAAAATGTTCCAGACGCATTGCCCGTATTAACAGCTTCTCATGAGCAAAAAAGAAAATAATAGCATGTCTTCTTGATACCGAAGAGTGTGGTTTTAATTAGTACTGTAGTTTTGTCTCTTTTTGTGGCAGGAGTTTGGGGGAATGCTTTTTAGACCGAACGCTCTAAACAGTGAGTAAACCCCAAGGATAACACTAGATAAAAGTTACGCCTCGGCTTATACAAATATTTAAGCTCAGTCTGGGGGTGGAGGAGAATGAAACCCATAAACTGATTGTTTCACAGTTGCCCTGCTATGTTCATTTGGCAGCAGAGGAGCCCTGGGATGAAATTGGTTCTTTTTCTCTGCTCATTTCCTATTGCCTTACACTGCATAATCCCTGACAATACCAGCATATGCCATCTGGCTTTGTTCTCCTTTGCAGTCAGCATTTTTTGGATCCCCCCCAGTTGAAAACCTGCTTTGAATTTAGTCCTTTTTGTTTTCCATAATCACCTACAAAGGGCATTAGAGATGGGAGCAGGTTGTTGTTGTTCTCAGATGGAACTTGAGACAAATGTGAGCCAGGCTCGCTCCCCACCTGATTGCATTGTGGGCAAACAGATTCATCCATCAGATTTAGAAGTGCAACCTTTGGCTTTTTTATTTACTTATGGGCACCCATGCCAGCTTCTCTGAGTGGGAGGCCATCTGATGGAGTTGTCTCAAGATCCACAAATGTGTCGTCTTGCTCGTTTGTTACCACATGTGTGTTCACAGCCACTGTTGGCCAGAGGGCTTGGAGGTGATGAGGGCAGGCTTTGGATGGTATTTATTGTCATGGCATGCGATGTGTGAGGCTGCTGGTGTTCCTACACACTGTGAAACCTGGAGTGGGGCAGGGGTGTGCAGGGAGTGACTTGTCTGTTAAAGGTGACCTGCTCCAGGGGAGGACAAATTGCATTGTGTTTCTCAGTTGATTCTTGGTGTTATAAAGGGCTGAGAAATATTCTTTTAATTTATGACTGTTGGGTTTTTTCTGTTTTGTTTTTTTACCTGTGGGTATTTGCTGTCTCTATTTTAGCACATGTAGAAATATTAGCTGCTTTTGCACGTATAAGTCTGTAGCAAAAGTCATAAAGTGACTTTTCACTTGGTAGAGGAACTCAAGATTTGTGATAATTCAGTGTAGGAGAGTTAATGACCTTTGTGGAGGAGCTCGGAGTTTCTAGCTGTCATTCTCTTGGTGAGCCCTTCTCTGTTTTTTCTTCCTGTCCCAGCTTCTGTTACCTCATGCATTAAAGATAATAGTGTCATTAAGGTGGGAACTGGATGCTTTTCAGAGCTAAGTCTTTTAAAGCAAGAATTAGCAGACCAGGATGTGAGCAGGTGGCCCTTAATTAGCTTGGCCACTTCTAACTGCTTTAGCTGTGCTGCCCTTAGAGCAGATTGGTGCTATCTAGAATTGCACGCCTTTGCAGAGATTTCTTTTCCCTGTTCCTTCCCAATCCTCTCATCAGAGAGTGTTTGAAAGGTCAGAGGTCTGTTTGAAGCTCAAAGTGGGTCCATCGGCACAGGTGCAAGGTTACCAAAGCCCTGCCCCTTCCTTTAGCTGCTGCCCTGATTTCCTCTTGTAACGCACGGACTTCTGGAAGATGGCAGAGCAGATCCTGAGTTATTGCAGGAGTCAGTACAGTGTGACAGTGCTTACTCTGAAGTGTATCTGAGAACGTAGCCCCAAATGGCCCAAATGTACCTCAGGTACCTTCTGATCCCATAGGGAGAGCTGGCAGGGAATTTCTCCTGGTTCTCTCAGTGTGGAATCACACTCTGCGGTCTGCATGGGCATTGCTCTCTCAATTATAAAGGAAGGGAAGGAAATAGGCCTGGTTTTCTGGTGACCAAGGCTGGGGAGGGATGAACCTCGGCTTGCTGCAGGGCAGGAATGCAGGAAGAGGGGCAGAACGTGGTAAGGGAGCCGTGTTTGTCAGAGCAGTGCGTAGAAATGGGGAAGGTAATGACGGGAAGGAATCCAAAAGATTTGAGAAGAATGGGGAAAGAGCTAAGCATGTCTTAGATTTGATCCAGAAATTTCTTCAGAAGATGCTCCAAGCAGTCCCACTGATGTTCTTCCATGGTTTACCTTAGCCGGGCTCTGTCTTTTCCAGATCCAACAGCAATATTGTTCCTTGCTCTTTGCTGGTTACGTTCTGAGAACAGCTCCGTGTCTCGGTGCTTTGAGCCGCTTGGTGAACTCTCCCAGGAAGGAGAAGCAGGTGGTGGGTGCTGGAGCTCAGGGGGGGACGGGCCCTGAGTGCAGAGCCATAGGGACAGCACGCTCACTTGTCAGCTGGCTGCTGCCCTTCCACGCTACACAGCCGTCATCCAGCCACTGCAAGTCCTTCTTTTGGGGCAGGATGTGGTTATGGAAAATGTGCCAGAAATAGGCCCAGGGATTAACAAAAGAGGGGCTTTCACAAATATCCTTCCATGCCAGTTTATTCTGATGAAGGGAAAGTGGAGGGCGGTTGTGAAATGCATGAGAAAACCCACTGCTTTTTTTCCTAGATGACTGCAATGACCGAGTCTTTCTGGTTGGTGGTTTCCTCAACCCAACATTCAGATAGAAAAGCGCCTTGCGTGCCAGATTTGAAACCAGATGGGAGCAGGAATCCTGCTTGTTTGGATCCTTAGCTCTGTGCTCAGGCTTGGCTCTTCCCACTGCCCTCCACAAAGCCTTGGCATTCAGAGCAGTGGGGCTACTGCCTGTGTGAGGAGTGGTTCTGGCTCCAGGTTCTGGTTCCGTTTTGTGACCATAGGGAGAAGACATTTAGAGCTCTGCAGAAGGTGAGAACCATGGACTCGTGTCCCCAGAAGCCTCTCCTCATTTATACCACTTCAGTGCCTGCAAAGAATTC